TTTAGGAAAAGTGCCTTCCATAGGTTGTCCAAGGGGTTCATGTCCAGGGGGGTGTTTCGAAACACTTGTCCAGGGGGGTATTTTTACAGGAAAAAGTGCCTTCCATAGGTTGTCCAAGGGGTACATGTCCAGGGGGTGTTTGAAACACTTGTCCAGGGGGGTATTTTTTAGGAAAAGTGCCTTCCATAGGTTGTCCAAGGGGTACATGTCCAGGGGGGTGTTTTCAAAACACTTGTCCAGGGGGGTAATTTTTACAGGAAAGTGCCTTCTATAGGTTGTCCAAGGGGTACATGTCCAGGGGGGTGTTTCGAAACACTTGTCCAGGGGGGTATTTTTTTAGGAAAAGTGCCTTCCATAGGTTTGTCAAAAGGGGTTTATGTCCAGGGGGGTGTTTCAAAACACTTGTCCAGGGGGGTATTTTTACAGGAAAAGTGCCTTCCATAGGTTGTCCAAGGGGTACATGTCCAGGGGGGTGTTTCGAAACACTTGTCCAGGGGGGTATTTTTTTAGGAAAAGTGCCTTCCATAGGTTGTCCAAGGGGTATCCATCCAGGGGCATGTTGGAAAATTGTTGTCAATAGGGTGTATTTTCCATGGCATGAGGGGTCAATGATAAGTGTGGCCAGGGGGGGGTATTTTGGGGTGAAAGTGCCTTCCATAGGGGGGGTGCGGATATTTTCTGGAATAGCCCATTGTTTGTTACACCTTTAAAAACATTAACGTTTATCTAAATGGTTAAAGAGATCAAAAGATAACAAATAATTATTTAAAGAATTAAAGTGTCATAATTGTAATTAAATTAATTGTTATTAATTAATTTAATTAACTATAGTAGGGCCGAAACGTCTCGCGGAAAAGGGCCGAAACGTCCAGGGGCCGATTTTTCCACTGGGGCCGAAACGTCCTGTTTGCGAGAGAGAGTGAGGGAGGGAGAGAGAGGGATAGATAGATAGATACTATTACGTGATATTGCATTTACTTATATCTTTATCAAATTTACAAAAGATGCCGAAAAGACCAAGGTTTTGAGGCCGAAACGTCCATGACCAGGGCCGACACGTCCAGCATTTTGCCAAAATTTTTGGATAAGATCTATTGCAGTATCACATATTACACGTCCCTACTACGCCCTGTTCAATGAAAACCCATTCATTTGCATCAAAATATTTGAAATTACCTTCTATCATATAAAAGAAGTATGTATTTGAAAGTATTGAACAAATTCTAATTCAAAAAGGATGCGTGTAGCAATCGGAATACCTCGACCATCGGGGCAATCTAGACTGGTATTCAGACTATTCGTTGTAATAGAATGCGAAATGGACTCCATTTCGCGAAATGGACTTATCGTCTACGAAATGGACATTTGTTTGCAAGTTACGGTTTGAGTACATTTTCAATTTAAACTCTATATTTAATACTTTACAAGTCACTATCGTATTTTTCTGTGCAAGAGAAAGGATGATCGCTGAACTTGTATATAGAAATTAGGCCAATAAATGGCGATTAAATCATGATTATGGTTATTTATTATAATATATATAATTAGTTGCTAATAATATACGTCTACAAACAGCAATTTTACTGTAAAATTCTATTAAAACGGTACAATTCAAATTCTAAAAGTCACTTTCGCTCACTTTCGTCAAAAATCTCACTTTCGTGTTTTTGGTTAACCCTACGCTGAGAAACTAAACATGTAAACAAATGGTAACTTTACGCTGGGAGTAGTTGACAAGTTTATTTCCAATATATCAAGTAAAAGTCCACCTAATATAAGTGAATTCAAAGATACAAAAGCAAACAATACATTATTTATATATTTATTAATAGGGTTGTAGAAACCGAAAGTATAAAACGCAAACCTGTTGATATGAACTCGGATTTGTTATCACTGGGCTTTTTTGTATTAAAAAGTGTTGTGAGACATATTTTCAATCATAATTGTACCGAAACAGATCTTTTTTCCTTTGGATGTCAAATAAATACATTCGTTTCACATTGCAAACTCTGTTTCTGTTTACATCTGAAACCACGTGGTAGAACTACATTGTACTTTCAATACGTATTGTTTCCGAGGTTATTATAGATATAATAGACGAGAATGTTCCGATTGCCGTCCCAATTGATCAATCTCCTGTTATGATATCAAGATTAGATAACTCTTTACATGTTTAGCTGTATAGTTAATGGGATTACTTCCCTTTACTTGATATTCATTAATGCTATGTTATATATATGATCATGCCTCTCTGATACCTGGTCATTCTCACTTGAGCTCTGGTCTTAACAACATGTATTAAATGGTTATAATAAATTGTAGAATAGTTTGAATCTTGTTATCATCCATACAACATAACATGGTGTCAGAAGTAAACTAAAGGAATAATATTGCAATAAAAGAAATTTAATAAAAAAAATATTTGGAATCGGATTTAACAAGCATTCTGGAAAGAAATTAAATTGTGCGCATCACAAACATTTAACTTTCTTCAGAGAAATCAATTAATTCTACAGCTCTACAATGGATTTAAATGGTGTACCCATACCAACAATGAACTGGGACAGTCAGAACCCTATGGAGGAGTTCAAAAAGTTCAGGCAGCATGCAGAACTTATATTTAGTGGCGCATTAAGAGAAAAAGATGAAGAAGTGCAAGTTACTTACTTATTACTTTGGATTGGTGACAGAGGCCGCCAGATATATAATACTCTTAAATTAACTGAGCTCCAAAGGAAATCAATAAAGGCAATTTCGGATGCAATTCAAAAACATCTACAACCAAAATCAAATCCTGTATTTAGCAGATACAAATTCCACAATGAAAAACAGGGAAACAGTACGATAGAACAATTCATCACACGTCTAAAAACATTAGCAAATGATTGCGCTTTTGATGCAGGGTACAGAGATGATGTAATACGAGATCAAATAGTAATTGGAATTACGTCGGAAAAAGTTCGTGAAAAACTTATCACAGAAGGTGAAGCATTGACTCTCGAAAAAGCAGTCAGGATATCACAGTCACATGAATATGCACAGGCACAATTACGTGACATGACTAATTCCAATAGCATTGATGACATTCATCATAAACGACATTCCACGTCAAAACACCAAAACGAGACTGGAAAGAAACACAATCACCATTCAAGAGTTAGACAAAACCAACAGATAACAAAATGTGGAAATTGTGGACAGTCACATCACAGCAAAGATCGATGTCCGGCAAGAGGAAAACTATGCAAGAACTGCCATAAATGGAATCACTATGCAGTTGTGTGTAGGTCAAACAAAAAAGTGCATGAAATTGAAACCGGAAACAATAACAGTGACAGTAACAGTGACAGTGAATTTTGTATTGGTGCAGTTGATTCACATTCAAAGGGACAGGTATTTGTTGATTTACAGGTGGGCTCTAAAGGTCATTTTAAACAGTTTAAACTTGACACAGGGGCATGCTGTAACATCCTTTCTGAGGCAGATTTCAAATCCCTCAAGGTCAATACCCCCTTAAAGAAGCCAACTGTCAAACTCACTGCTTACTCAGGCACTGAAATTAAGGTTCTAGGAGTAGTAGATCTCCCATGCAGCTACAAGAAGAAATGCACAAAACTTGTAGAATTTTATGTTGTGAGAACAAACAAACCCTCAATCCTAGGTTTACAATCATGCCTTGACTTCAATTTAATTCAGATTGTAATGTCCGTAGACCAGAATGAGCAAATGAATAAAAATTCTGTCTTGCGTGACTTTCCTGAAGTTTTTCATGGCTTTGGAAAATTACCTGGTGCTTGTTCGATCAAAGTAGATCCCAAGTATTCTCCAGTAATTCATCCTCCCCGACGCGTTCCTGTAGCTCTTCAGAGCAAGGTTAAAAAGGAACTTGATGCTATGGAGAAGGCTGGAATCATAGCCAAGGTCACCACACCAACAAATTGGGTGAATAGTATGGTCGTAGTCAACAAGCCACATTCTGATAAAGTTAGAATTGTAATTGACCCTAAAGACCTTAATAAGGCAATCCATAGGCCACATTATCCTACAAAAACCTTAGATGATATTTTGCCGCAGTGAAATTCTGCAAAATATTTCACAAAACTTGACTGCAAATCAGGTTACTAGTCCGTTGTTTTAGATGATAAATCATCATATCTAACTACATTCAACACCCCTCAAGGTCGTTATAGGTATCTAAGATGTCCCATGGGACTGAAATGCAGCCAAGATCTTTTCCAGCAAAAGATGGATGAGTGCTTAGAAGGCTTACTTGGTTGTAGTGTCATTGTAGATGACATTCTTGTTTATGGTTCAACTCGAGAAGAGCATGACATAAACTTAAGAAACTTACTTGATAGGTGCCGCCAAAAGGGCATTAGGTTAAACGAAGACAAACTTGTTGTTTGCGTCTCGGAGGTTGAGTATTTTGGTCACATCCTCTCAGCTGATGGATTGAAACCAGACCCCGAAAAATGTAGGGCTATCCAAGAGATGAAAGCGCCTAAAGACAAGTCTGAGCTTAAGACAATACTTGGCATGATAACTTATCTATCTAGATATGACCCAAACTTGTCCGAGATCATTCATCCTCTCTCAGAAATATTAAAGAAAGATGTCATTTTTCACTGGGATGCTCCTCAAGTTCGATCACTTACCCTTGATCAGCGTTGTTAAGAAATCCCTATACAGTGCCCCGGCAAGATTACAAAGGCTCTTATTAGCGTTACATGGTTATGATTTTGAGTTGCAGCACAAAGCAGGCACTCAAATACCCGTTGCTGACACATTGTCTCGGAAATATTTGCCAGATACTTATCCAGAAATTTCCGAAAATACCAATATGCATGTTCACTTCATAACAAAAAACTTGCCATACACAGATCAAAAACTTAGTGAAGTAAGGTCAAAAACTGAGTCAGATCCAACACTCATTACCTTGAAACAAATCATTCTTCAAGGCTGGCCTGAAAAACGCAAATATTGCAATTCTCAAGTTCTAGAATACTGGAATTATAGAGATGAACTCACTGTTGTAGATAATATCATCTACAAAGGTCAAAAATTGATTATTCCTAAGTGTCTAAGATCTGAAATGTTAAATTTGCTACATAAAGGTCACCCAGGTCAGGAACGTAGCTTCCGCAGGGCACAAATTTCTATGTTTTGGCCTAACATTAGCAAAGACATAGTGCAGAAAGTGCAACAGTGTTCTGTATGTGCTGAGCATCAAAGGTCAAATTCAAAGGAACCCTTGGTTTCACATGAAATCCCTAAATACCCATGGCAGGTAATAGGTACTGATGTATTTACATTAGATAACCAAGACTACTTGTTAGTATGCGACTACATGAGCAACTATTTTGAAGTTGACATGATTAAAAATACAAACAGTAGCACTATTATTAAGTTAATGAGAACTTGGTTTTCAAGACATGGTATTCCCCAGAAAATAGTTTCAGATGGTGCTAGTTATTACACATCACAAGAATTTAAAGAATTCACAACTAAATGGGACATAAAGCATGTAAGGTCATCACCTCAATATCCCCAAAGTAATGGCCTTAGTGAATCATGCGTGAAGAAAGTAAAAACATTGCTTAAAAATGCAAGCAAGATGGAACAGATCCTTTAATAGCAATTTTAGAATTACGTGCTACCCCGCTAAGCATAGGTTATTCTCCCACTGAAATCTTAATGGGGAGAAAAATAAGGACATTTATACCTATGTCTGAAAAGAATTTAACACCCAAAACAACAGATTTTAAGAGAATAAGGTCACTTCTTGAAAAACAAAAATGTATTCAAAAGAAAAATTATGATAAACATTCAAGACCCCTTAAACCATTTAACATAGGAGAAAATGTTAGAATTCAGCAGGGAAAATCTTGGAATCCCGCTGTCATTCAAGAAAAATTAGACAATCGCTCCTATTCTGTAGAAACACCTGATGGTGGTCAATATATCAGAAAACAGGCAACATCTAATGAAGGATTATACCTGCCAAGATAATGACACTCCATTAAACACTGATAACGATCAATTTACACAGGCCATTTGTAGTAATCAAGACACAGCAGATTCCCAGGGTAAACTTTCACACCAGTTAACCTCACAGCATGCCAGTGTCAAGAGTGATAATCTGACCTTTAATCACTCAAAGTCGCCTGCATCAACAAATACTCTCAAACTGCCAAACATTTATCCAGAAGCTTATGTAACTCGTTTGGGAGGCAGGTTAAACAAAAGATAATTCAGTCTGTGTAAAATAAGTGTATATATACACATTGAACAAATAGGCATAAATTGCAGTAGTGTTTATTGTGCTTTAAACAGAAAAAGTACAAAGTTTATATTGACAGTATGAAAGCATTTTCTAGGACAAATTTATCATAATAATTAAATGTGTTTATCTCAAATGTCAGTCTTAACATGGACATTATTTTTATTGCTTAATGCTTTCTCAGAATAAATTGACATTTATAGCGGACAAATGTTTATGAGCTTCTCAATTTCAAACAAAGGGAGATGTTATGATATCAAGATTAGATAACTCTTTACATGTTTAGCTGTACAGTTAATTGGATTACTTCCCTTTACTTGATATTCATTAATGCTATGTTATATATATGATCATGCCTCTCTGATACCTGAGTCATTCTCACTTGAGCTCTGGTCTTAACAACATGTATTAAATGGTTATAATAAATTGTAGAATAGTTTGAATCTTGTTATCATCCATACAACATAACATCTCCCAAGCAGTGAACTCCCCTTACAGGATCTGGCCGGGGGCTAACACGACGAGAAAATCTATAAGAGATTAATACACGGCAGAGTAGGGCCGGAAGGTGATAATCGGCCCGCAAAATGAATAATGGACCCGAGGGCTTTAGCCCGAGAGGGAATTGTTCATTTCAAGGCCGATTATCACCTTCTGGCACAATTAAGACGTGTATTAATTAATGTCTTTAATACACCCGGTAGATCTAATAGTAGCATTTTTTCAAAAAAAAAAAAAAAAATATATATATATATATATATATATATATATATATATATATATATATATATATATATATATATATATATATATATATATATATATATATATATATTTATTACCCTTCCAGATTTTTCCGCCTTTTTGATTGGATATTGATCACCCGAAAGAAATTGATATTACCGAGCCAGACGGGTAATATACACACTAAATTTCCCCGTTGGGTACCCCACGTTCTAAACAACATGCGCTGTGGCGATGCGCGTACGGTTTGATTTTACGCGATGTAAATTCCGATTTACAAGCACTTTTTAACTGTCAAATGATAAATATTTACCAAAATAGAGTAATCATACATATTTAAGAAGGGTAGCCTACACCTCATACGTCATTTTAAACATGCTAGAGTTGCGAGGCCTTATGCATGCCCCACATTAAATATAAACCACACAAGTATGGTCTTAAATAGACCGATTCCCGTAAATGGAGGCATGTAACTGTATAACGGTATCGAGTCGTTAAAAACATTCCACGAGCTTGGGAATAACCTTCATCCCAGAATAAAATTAGAATTAAGATATTCAGCTGAAAAACTCAGAAAATTCAGAATGGCATTTTAATAACAGACCTATACACTAAACCCACAGATAAACACCTGTACTTGCATAAAAAGTCGTCTCATCCGGAATCGACAAAAAAATCAATACCACATGGACTTGCCCTCCGTGCTAAGCGAATATGTACTAATGAATCGAATTACAAACAACATAGAGAGAATATTAAAACTCAGTTACAGAAACGAGGCTATGAAGATCGACATATTGAAACAGAATTAAATAAAGTAGATAGTAAGAAAAGAAGTGACCTATTACAGTATAATGAAGATAAAGAAAACACTGAAAGAATCCCCTTGGTACTGACATTTTCCAGAGCGCTCCCGAATGTAGGACAAATAGTACGAAAACACCTACCTGAATTACACACCTCAGATAGAATGAAGGAAATATTCCCGAATCTTCCAATTGCGGCATTTAGAAGAGGAAATAACCTACAAGACATTCTCGTTCAACAGCCGAATTCCTGTGCTCCTTGCAGATCCAAAAAGTGTGCGATTTGTCCGTACGTTATTGAAGCAGACACATTAATTGGTGTGAACGGGGCCTCGTATAAGGTTCGAAATCAGATCACGTGCAAATCTACGAATGTTGTGTATGCAGTTTATTGTAAGCGTTGCGAACGTTATATTTATGTTGGAGAAACAGGGGATACGTTGTACCAAAGACACCTTCTAAATTTATCCAGAATACGAACCAAGTACAACGATCCGTTAGCGGCGCATTTTTACACGAACGACCACACAGTTAATGATTTTTCAATAATAAGGCTGGAAAAGCTATACGGGAATGACCAATACAGAAAAACAATAGAAAATTTGTGGAAAAATAAATTAAGAACCTATAGACCGTATGGAGTTAATACTTAGAGGTTAATACTTGGTTGCTGCTCGGTATTATGCGATAATGGCCCGAAGATGTGCATAATGGCCTGAGGGCCGCAGGCCCGAAGGACATTATGGTCTCGAGGGCCATTATCGCATAAGGCCTCGGCCCGGTGAATTTTCGTACTATTTGTTCTATAGTAAATCAGTCAAATTTGAGGCTTAATTCTGGATTCCACTGTTCTTGATGAATTATATACTGTCTTCAACTTTAAACATTAACACTATCTAAGTCAGTTTCAGTTTCAGTTTTTATTAAACCAAGGCATATAATATGCAACTGGTTATAACAAACAAACAAACAGAAAAATAACAGTCAAAAATCACTAATATCACAATATAAAAATACAATTATGACTAGCTAAATAAACAAAAAGGAGATCATATTGTTCATTTCAAGTACTGAATTCAATACAACATGTATTTTATATTGTAACAAATGGGAATGGAGAATGATAAGTATTAGTTATCTAAATTTTAACATAATGTTCCAATGAGGCCCAAAATATAATAGGTTAGCCATCTACTTTTTTTCAGAAATCTTCATTCTGTTGTAACTCACCACTTTAAAAACTCCTGACAGCTGGTGGGTAGTACATCTTTAATCCTTCCACCAACAAATGAGTTCCTGGAGAAAAAAAACAACTTTTAAAGTCATCATATAACACACAAAAACTACACACATGCAATAAATACACTTTAAATATGACCAATCTAACTAGAGATGACTTAAATTGGGCCATTTCAAAATTTTAAAGAACTACTTTCTAGACTACAATGGGTTCGGTCTAATTCCGTACCGGGTTGAGACCATAATGCCGAGCAGCAACCAAGTATTCTTTTCTTGAGTTTATAAATCTTCAATTATAAGCTTTGTTGATTGAGACTGATTACGTCATTTAAACTGAAAGTTTTTTGTGCAAGTGACTACAGTTCATTCATCGTCAGCAGCCATCTTGAAAGTCACTGAGAGTTGATTACGTCATTTTGCACGTGCGCTCATTCACTCGCCCATTATGGAAAAATAATGCCGAGTAGCAAGGCGGCCGAAATTGCATAATGACCTAGATCTTGCCATAATGGCCCTGAAATACCCTAGATTTTGTTACTATATATAGTAACATAGGTATTAACAAAGAATAAAGTATGTTTTGGGAAATGCACAGTACAAAGTTCTTTAATTTTTTATACGTTTATTTCTGTTAGCGCTTTCAAATGTTTCTACATATCTTCAGACAGTAACGTATAATATAATCATGACGTTAGAAATAAACGTATAAAAAATTAAAGAACTTTGTACTGTGCATTTCCCAAAACATACTTTTTTATATACATGAGATCCACACAAGGAATCGAACTTCTTATATATATATATATATATATATATATATATATATATATATATATATATATATATATATATATATATATATATATATATATATGCATTTATATATATATATATATATATATATATATATATATATATATATATATATATATATATACGCATTTATATATAGATAAAGTAATTATGTTTAAGAAATAACAAACTATGTATATTCAGTAGCGCTTTCAATGCTTTCTTTGCATATCTTCAGCCAAAACTTTAAAAAACAATAAACATTTAAACAAATGACGTAACGTCATGAAAAAAAGCGGGAACGTTAAATGATAACGTATTTCCCGGCAAACACAAAGTGGAAATTTATACTGTAATATTATAATTTTACGGACATTAAACATAATCCTTACAATCTGGCAGTGAATTAATGACATTTATTAAAGGGAGGTAATAAAATTCACATGTAAATTATTTTATGGCCACAAATTGTATGGTAATTAACAATTTTTACTGAATAAATATTGGTTAATAAACGAACAATATGACTGAATAAAAACGCAAGCGTTTCTTTCATAATTAAAAATGAAGAGATTGTAATAAATATGATGTACTTATATATAAATAACTTGTTAAAGGTATTAGCACCCTAATGCATTACCTCCGCTTTGAAGAGTATTCAAATAGGCTAGAATTACTGTTAACTACATTGAAAATGAGGGTCATGGGTTCAATCCCCAGAAGGGTCAACTTTTTTTTCTTTCTTTTTTTTCGTTTAACATTATTTATGTATTTCTCATGTCCCATATGGAAAGAAAAAAGTGTTTAATTTTGAATTTTTAATTTATATAGGTATTTATTGGCTAAATTATGCTAAATCTAGTAATAAATATGGTACCTGATATTTTCAAAGTGTAATATAATCAAAACTAGACGGTAAAAGTATTTCATATTTTACAAGATCAACCAATATACTTTTTTAAAAATTTAGGGAAACTTTGAAAACAGGCACTCATTTGGGTAAATTTTAAGAATTTTTTGAATTAGGCTCCCTAAGTAGAAAAATTGTCAGACATGTGGTAAAAATGGGTGGGGTAGGGTAACATTTTTATACAGATTTCATAAATTTTAAGTAGAAACCATAATTTTGCTTATGTGGATTGTTAGCTGAATGGTACTATTTGTTTGTTACCAAAGAATCATGGGAAAACATTTTTCATTAGAATGTTATTGCAGATTATCTAAAGGTTCCTCATTTCTAAACAAAGGGCCCTCATAACATCCTAGCTTGAGTTCAGAAAAGTGGCCATAACTTGATTTCCGTACGGTAAACTTTGTTTAAATTTTGCATACAGGTGTACTTTAAGGTATACATCTGACCTATGATGTCAATTCTTTATAGTTCCTGATAGTGCCCATTAGGGTCCTAATATATTATAAGCTGTGGTTTTAATACTTTGATTTTCTTTTCTAAAAGAGTCACTTTGTTTAATATTTTAAACAGAGGGCAAATGTTAAAATTACCTCCTGACATTTATGTAAATGTTTATTGACTTGCAACTTTTTGAGTTCTTCTGTGTTTGTTTGTTGCCTATGTAAAGTCATACGTTTACATAATTCATTTTAAATTTGGCCAATATAAAACTGTTGACAGTTGTTACAAATTATTGAATATATCACATTTTTTGAAACACAGTTCATACTTTGTTATCCCTCGCCGAAAGGCGGCGGGGGATATAGAAATAGTCTCCGTCCGTCCGTCCGTCCGACATTTTTGTCCGGAGCATATCTCAAAAAGTATTTGAGGTATCAACTTGAAACTTCATAGGTGGATAGATCATATTGAGGAGGAGTGCAGTGCACAAGAATGATAACTCTACCCTGCATAATTTTTCAGTTATTGCCCTTTGTTATTTTTCAAACTTAATTTTTGTCCAGAGCATAACTCAAAAAGCTTATGAGATATCAACATGAAACTTCATAGGTGGATAGATCTCACTCAGGAGGTGTGCAGTGCACAAGAATGATAACTCTACCCTTCATAATTTTTGAGTTATTGCCCTTTGTTATTTTTCATACTTAATTTTTCACCTGAGTGGAGCATAACTCAAAAAGTCTTTGAGATGTCAACATGAAACTTCATAGGTGGATAGATCTTATTGAGGAGGAATGCTGTGCACAAGAATGATAACTCTTCCCATTATAATTTTTGAGTTATTGCCCTTTGTTATTTTTCATACTTTTTGTCCGGAGCATATCTCAAAAAGTGTTTGAGGTATCAACTTGAAACTTCATAGGTGGATAGATCATATTGAGGAGGAGTGCAGTGCACAAGAATGATAACTCTACCCTGCATAATTTTTCAGTTATTGCCCTTTGTTATTTTTCAAACTTAATTTTTGTCCAGAGCATAACTCAAAAAGCTTATGAGATATCAACATGAAACTTCATATTAGGTGGATAGATCTCATTCAGGAGGTGTGCAGTGCACAAGAATGATAACTCTACAATTAATAATTTTTGAGTTATTGCCCTTTGTTATTTTTCATGCTTAATTTTTCACCTGAGTGAAGCATAACTCAGAGTCTTTGAGATGTCAACATAAAACTTCATAGGTGGATAGATCTTATTGAGGAGGAATGCTGTGCACAAGAATGATAACTTTTTCCATTATAATTTTTCAGTTATTGCACTTTGTTATTTTTCATTCTTAATTTTTGTCCAGAGCATTACTAAAAAAGCCTTTGAGATATCAACTTGAAACTTCATAGGTGGATAGATCATATTGAGGAGGAGTGCAGCACACAAGAATGATATAATTTTCCCTGCATTATATTTCAGTAAGTGCCCTTTGTTATTTTCAGCCATCAGTATTCACATAAGTTTCAAATCTGTAATCACTTTAGCCGTCAGTTTTCATTACCAAAAGACCTATTAAAATTGAATTATTCTGCTCTACTACATATGTATTCTTCCAATGAGCAAACAACTTCGGTGAGGGATGGCCATGTTGACATGGCACTTGTTTGATCTTAAATGTCTTACTGTTACAAAATTGTATTTCATTTCCTTCTATTAAAGAAGGACATGTCTTACACCTACTCCTGTTGCATTTAGAAACTGTTGTTACAGTATTATTTTTCATAGGTTAAGATGTGTTGAAGATTTTTTGCCTGTCTTTTACTGTTTCTTTATAATACGCTTCTTTTCTAAAATACTGTTCATCCGTTCACTTTTTCGTAACACATTCTCACAAAATCGAATTGCTTGGGAAATATTGGTATTTTGGAGATTAAATGTTGTTACACATGGAATAACGTGGTACTTGTTGTTAGCTGTTATGTTTTCTTCAGTTTTGATGGAACCTTTCAATTTGGCTTTAGATATTCCGTATGTAATAATTTCATCTGGGTAATTCTGGATTTTAATTCTTGTAGTTAGTTCTGAGAGGTGCTTTTCTTGTAGTGTACGTTTCTCCTCTTACTATAGTTATGATTCTTGAAGCAAGGTTGAAAGGAATGTTTAACTTTGTATGTTTCGGATCACAGGCAATCGGTGCGTGGCTTGGATAGTATACATGTACATGACCACGCCCACTTATTTTTTTATAAATATTTTTTTTTCACTAATAAAATATTTTTTTATTCAAAATGTTTTTAAAATATCTTATTTTCAATAAATCAACAAAGAAAATTTGTTTTTAAAAAATTTCATCCATATATACTATTAATATAGTAAAGGTAGAAAGGTTCGCCAGCGGACCTACCACCAGGCCTTATGTTACCTCCCAGATCTTTGTTAATTGTCAACCAATTTTCACCAAATAAAGTGTTTCGGCTGGGATGTACTATAACGGGATATGTCACTCGCGCTTTCTTATCAGTGCCAATGTTGGTGTCCAATTGGAATCGATCGATAAGCGCCGTGTTTAAACGCCGTAATCACGGTACATGCCGGGTTGATCGGATATATTCCGTGCATAAATTTTCCGGTGATTTTGGGAGTTGGGCAATCAAAATAGTAGGGAAAAAAGGTTGTTGGTTTCTTAAATACTTTTTTCATTGGATCAATTTTAAAAATATTAATATTAATAAATATGAAACAGATACAGAAAAGTAATTTACCATATTTAATTATGATAAAATTTACGTTTTGTAATTAAAATACGTTCAGAAATAACTTAATCATTAAATTTCAATTATAGCTTTAATTACATGGTTTATATTAATTATAGAATATAATTATGTCAAATGTGTCAATAAACATAGAAATTATGTTGTATTGGGACTTATTATTTATGTAATTAAAGTGTACAGCTGCTATAAACATGTTTATAACATGTAATAATTTTTGGTTTAATAAAATGTCTGACCTTTGTTTTATTCATGTTTGTTTTCAACATGGCCTTTGATAATCTTTGATGTTTAAACATATTTTTCACATATATTTGTAATTATGTTCTTATTTAGCTTTAATCTTCATTTTTGAATAGATGCAATGCAATGATTCATATTTGCAATGGCCACGTCATACTGGTCATCAACCTGCATACCCATTGTTAGAGTTCCAGCTTCGACCCATTTGTCATGTGACATTTCTGTATGTATATACATGCATCGGACCTGTAGGCAATACCCTTGATTTTTATAACGAACCAGTGACTCATTAAATTTCTTTGACTCTTTTATTAAAGAGCTAGGTAGCATGAAGGACTACCTAGTTGAGAAAAATAAAACATAAAACACCCAATCAAAATATTACACCTAACAAACGATTCATTAAAATATTTATTTCATGTAATGAATATTCATCTCATGAATGTTAATTGTACAAATATAAACATAATTGGAATACAAAAAAAGTATAAATCTATATATATATAGTTGATGTCTTGAATTGCGAAAAAAATATCATGATTAAATAGTAACATTATCCATTTTTTTCACAATGAGATAACATGCGACAAAAAAAACAACAATTAATTAAATAGTAATAGAAGGGTATATTTTGGCGCAGAATTAATGTGAATTTCCATACAAATTCATGTGTGTTAAATAATGGAGAAATTCATGTTATCACTTTTCAATGAAGAGTTCGCTAAGATTTCTGAAAGATCATCTGATAACTGTTGGTCAACAAAGATACCTTCTTTTTTAATTTTCTTTTTAATGACCAATTTGAGTCTTTTAACTTCTTTTTTAAGTTTTAATGAATGATTCTTTAATTGTTTCAGTTTGTGTGATTTCTGATTTTCACTCAAATGTTTGTTGGGTATACGACTCTGCAGCCAGTTCTTTTTTGGGGTTGGAATTGATGAAACATTACTTTTGCGGTTCTTCATTTTGATAAGTGTTTTTCTGTAGGTTTTGTATCGTATGTTCCAGGTTTCGGATGACACGATTTAAAGTTGAGGTAGTGGTTTACTGTAGATATCTGTTGTTATATGTGTTCCAGATTTCATAACATGGCATGCTTGTTTCACTTTTATTCATCGTAAATTGAACACAGGGGTGTAAATTGTTTATTTCTCTTAATAAACCATCTGTGTTAATATTTTTCCCGACTATTAAAAAACAATCATCCAAAAATCTTTTCCAGTCCATTTTAATGTAGTTTGAAAATTCGTTTCCGTGTATTGTTGATATTCTTTCGTAAAATGTTTTCTCTAGATATCACATAAATAATAGGAATCAGTACACAGTTATTTGCCTTTCGTTGACCATAATAAGGAAGTAAATCCGCATAAAAGAGTGCCTGTGTTTAATGCCAGATATAAATGAATAATTGAATGATAGAGATAGAAAAAAGGCCATTTTCTGACAGAATTCATTTCAAATAGTTGGTAAATGCCAATTTTGATCCAGATTTTATGTGAGTAAGTATTTTTTTAGTGTTTTTCTACATGACAGAACTCACATGGTTCCGGCTAATTACTGAAAACTGTCAGACTGATGTATTTTGAACTGAAATGCTGTGAAAAAATGTCGCATGACCCCTAGTTTGCTGTAGCTGGAATTATTTATCTTGGATGGTACTGTATGCACAAGTGACTTTGATTTGATTGGAGAGTTAGTAAAATTGCCACAGGGTTCAATGTTTCTATAGAACATATAGTGAAATTATATGTTAATTATTTGTTGTTTATTCTTATATATAATATTCATACATATTTAATTGGATTGGAGAGTTAGTAAAAATTTTACAGGGTTCAATGTTTATATAGAACATATAGTGAAATTATATAGAACATATAGTGAAATTATATGTTAATTATTTGTTGTTTATTCTTATATATAATATTCATACATATTTAATCTCATTACAAAATACAATTAATGCGCGAATTTGAACAATAAACCTGATAGTTTCACACCTTATCCCTTATTATCACTTTATTATATATTTCTTTAGTGGTACGTAACCTCCAAAAAAGGTACATTTATGCAGTGGTACGTAACAGACTCAAAACCTCCATGATACGTAACCTCCAAATTCCGCCTCAGACCACAATTAGCATGGGACTCCGTATTATTTACAACACAAGTTTTATTTACAACACAAAACTAATCGAACAAACGATGAAAATAATTAATAACACTAATATTATTACACACACTAAAATTGAAATGAACAGTACAATGAAACAAACCACAGCAAATATAAAAAAAACACTTTTTTCATTAATATATTACGTACTGTATTGTTTTATTTAACAGTTTTAACTGAAATTAAATCAGGCAAATAAATGACAAAAATATCAAAATGATTTAATGTACTCAAATCACGCTAAAATAACATTTTCTAATGTCCCAGCATGAAATTCTGTATGAATTCTATATATTTTGGGTCTGAAGCGTAAATATATCTATAGATGTATTGAACGAAATTTAGACGCCAACAGAATCACCAAATAGTTTTAAAACAAGCCATGTGACTTGAAGAAACCCTGGAAGTTACAATAACAGATTTTGTGGATATTGAATGATTGAAACAAGTCTAAGTCATTCATTTGATATGTTCTTTAACGTTTCCATAGTTCACTGTGGGAACTTATATGATATATCTTAACGCTCTAACCTGACCCACGTACGCGGGTCAAGTTAGGAAACCACCATTTTATTCTTTATAAGAAGTTTTGTTCCTATGACTGCCTAGTGTATTTATTTTGAGGACATTGGACATTTATAGAAAAATGAATGAAAAAATCAAAACGAAGAAATGTAAAGTTTGCCTGTGTTTCCCTTTAACTGAAATAAACAAAATAATAATAACCGGACAAAATTACTTACCTTGGATAAAAAAAAAACTAAACAAGCGTTACATATTTTATCATTTGTACATTACACGTTAACTGAACTGTGCATAAAATAAAAATAACAATAATTATGTGACACGCTCTGAAATGAAACAACAGTACACAATTAACAAGTATTTTTAAAAATATTTTTGAGTTTTATTTATACGCACTTAACTGAAATAAACAAGACAAAATAATTGATAACAGTACATATGCAGGTTACGTTTTATTTACAGACTCATATTTCAGCTCCACTAAACCGCTCCTGGATGCTGCTGTCTTCTTGTCAGAATCTACTGATCAAAGCCGGATCAGAGTTGTGATATATAAATAATACCACACTGATAAAATCAGTGTATTCACTCATACGTCAATAGTTTGCAATTTGTTTGTGATTTGTTAGATTACTCATTTCTGAATGTGTGATAATCATACATAGATATCGGTAAAACGTTTGCATTTATATTAATTGCTCTTATGTGATTTTTAAAAAGTAATTTTAAAGTTATAATTCGGTCTTTTTTATAATTGTAATGCTAAATATTATTTGTATTTTATTTAAAAATATATAAGTGGTACGTAACCTCCAAAAATGGTATGTAACCTCCTGGTACGTATCCTCCTTCTGTACATAGCTCTGGGGAATTCAACTAATGGAGTGTAATAGCAAACTCGATGTTTTCGGCCTTTTTTTTAAAATTAAATTGAAATAAAACAGTTATTTCTTTATAAGAAAGTAATTAAATATCATTGTATGAATAATTCCATACAAAAAAAAAGTAAATACACAAGTTTACGCAGAAAATAACCTTTTTTTTTTTTTGAGGCCCCAACTGGGAAACCCGTTTATTTACCCCGTAATAGGTATGAGAGGGTCGGGGTCATCCCTCTGATACCTTACATGATATCTACATAATATTTAAATCATCATCTATAATAATATAATTACAATATACATTATATTCAAACATTCAATCAGTTTTCATATAATAAGTATAACAATTATGTATGATAATGTATTATGCAAAAAATTCAAACAAACAAAGAATATTGGTTTGGGGTAAATTAATTTAGTGTAGCCCATTAGTTTATT